CCTTAAAGAAGGTGACAGCCTTCATCTTCAAAACTATCGAATACAAACAGAGACAATGCTTAGATTTTCGAAATTCAAAAAATTCGAGGAATGTGGAAGAATGTCAATTGAGAATGTGAAGGGTTCATATTTACTATTTACAAGAAAAAAGAGGATTGCAGTTTTTTACCAATTTACTTATTGACTTTTCGATTTTCAATTTTTTAATACTTAAATTACTTTTTCGTCTTTTCTAGTCGAAATGGACTTTTGTCCAACATGTTCTGACTACAAAACTTTTTCACCTAAAGTCCTTAGAATACGTACCAGTCCTTAGAATATGTACCGACCCACAAAAGTACCAAAAAAATATGGTCATTTGGAATTCGGTACACTAAATTAAATATAATTGTAAAAAAATACACAGAAATAAAAAGTGTTATAAAGAAGTACACTACTGAGATATAAAAATTTAACTGCCCATTTTCTAAAATTTACTTTCCTAAAAAGGGTTTTAGGAAAATATCTTAAAATTAATAAGGTACACAGTGATAAGGCTTAACAGCTAGATTTAGGAACATTAATTTGGGAAAAGTTTCATCTTCGAAAAACGGTTACCGCTTCTTCTTCCTAGCCAAAAATTGTTTCATCTTCCTCGGCTAGAAACCCTAAATCGTTCCCTGAACATCTACAGGGATTCATCTTTAAAAGAAAAATCCTACTGGTCTGCCATTGTAGATGTAAGTTCATCAACAACATCTATTGTCATATTAATTCATTGTGGGTGAATAAATTGTGTATATCTCCTAACTGCTGATTGTGTTTCCCGCATAGTGTAACAAAGATAGTGTAACATTGTAACACAGACAATGTTCAATGATTTTGTAGATGTGGTAACAAATTCAAAACATAACAAAACTATTACAATGAAGTTATTTGTAAATATGTTTGACAAAATGTAACAATACAGTGTTTTGTATAAGTAAATTTTTATTCTGTTATTGTTACACTATAACAGTAAAGTGTTAAAGTGTTCGCACATACAAGATAAACTTCAANTGTAAATATGTTTGACAAAATGTAACAATACAGTGTTTTGTATAAGTAAATTTTTATACTGTTATTGTTACACTATAACAGTAAAGTGTTAAAGTGTTCGCACATACAAGATAAACTTCAGNAAGAACTTTTGTGGTTCAAGAACATTATCACCATTTCTGTCAGGAACTCTCTCAATTGTGCAAAGTCTATTTTTCTTCTACTTTTTCTCCTTTTGCAAGCTTCTTCATTATGTGGCAAACGAACACACCACAGTCGACACTGCATTGTATGTGCAGTTAATATCATTATATGCGGTGATTTTCAAAAAAAAATTATGGGAATTACGTACGAGTTAGATTTTTGTTGTGGACAGTTTTCACATGGTACGATGGGTAGTAATTTGTCTTGTGTGTCCAAGAGGGTGCCCATTGCAGTCTGAATCTCCGAAATCCTTTTCTCCACATAATCTTTTTGTTACATGAACGAACTTGTTAGTTATTGAAATGTTTTGGAAAACATTGACAACATATGAAAATGGTCTTGTGGTTTACCCATATTTTTGCATCTTCGAGCCAAGCATCGAGGACACCTTTCTCCATTGGCTTGAAGGAATTGTAGTGTGTCCAAATCCCATTTTCAGTGTCTAACACAAGTAATGTCTAGTGGGAAATACATGGGAAGCTTTTTGACCATTTAAGTTCATTAGAAATACTAGGTATTGTAATTCTTGTCCAACCAATAGATAGTCGTCTATTTCCAATTTACGTGCATCTACTAGAATACCTTTAGTTACCAGAGGCTACAAATTAAAATACAAGAAAATTAATATATGTTACATGACACAAAAGACTAAAAATAATTATTCATAATTAAGTTTGAACTAACTTACCCAATAGAGAACGTTGAAGAAAAAAACACCGTTGTTTAAATGTGGACAATTCATTGTTTTCGTCCATCTCCCGCAACATATCAACCCAACAATCTATAGCCTAATACAAGATATAGTTTTCCAATAAACTATAGCCGAATAACCTCAAATGATAATCATAACAAAGTTACATTATTCATTTTTTTAAAAAGATTTGGTCAATCTAATCTCACATTCAATACAGCAAAAAACATATAGTGTTATACAATTCACAGCCACCCATCAACTTAATTACATCTTTAACATCTACATAACTTCCAACACCTCTTCCATGTCATATTATAGTCCTACAAATGGATAACCACACCAAACACATTAACGAAATATTGACAATAATGACAAACTAGGATTAGTCACCTCACATGTTGCATTCTAGTATGAAACATGTACTAAATTCATATACCATAACAAGATATTGTGATAATATAGAGTTACACTATTTTCATTTACATATATATATATAATTATATTTTGGGCAATTTTGATACTTACGAGTCATTTGCCAAGTCGTGGATTCGGTTCAATTTGTTGTATTCTTGGGGAGCCAATGCTTTGCAAGCTTTCCACCACTTATGACAATCACATTATGTTGTATCTCTAATTTTTAAATAGGAGAAATGCAATTCATTAAATTAGTTATAATATACATTGTACCTTTATGGACTATCTTTCACAAACCTAAGATAATTTTCAACAAATACAATGTTTACGTAAGCAACAAAGTTACAACATAATGTGACATCATACTAATTTCACACATACAACAAAATATTATTTGAAATTGTTGCATCGTAACGTTTCCTATTATGGTAAAACATCTTACAGTCAACTGTATGATGTCAATGTGTGTAAACATCACTCCACATTATCAATAGAATATAAAGGTCACTATATGATGTAGTTACTAGGATGTCACTATCAAACCTAATTGACCCCATAAGAAGCTCAAGTTAAAAAGTCACTATATGTTGTGGTACTATGGATTATCGACAATAGGTTATCACTATATAGTGTAACTCTATGGATTAGCTTCAATACCATAATGTTGCATCTTACTACGTTAACACATAGTACAAAGTGTTTTCCCTGTTGAAATATGTACTAGAGTAACTATGTTGCCTAGTTGAAAAAGAAGCATCATTTAACAAAATAGGACATCTTATTATCTAATTTGATTTTCCAAAACACAACAAATACACAATGCAACATTGAACAAAAATTCAAATGAAATTGATTTACTTATTATCTTTGAAAACACTATCAAAAGTATTACGGATTTCTTTCAAAAAAAATTTAAAAAAATTTAACAAAACATTTAGGTTTCTATAATGCGACATTGAACATAAAAACTATGATGGATTTCGTTCAAAAAAATTACAAAATCACTCCAAAAATTAGAGCTCTTGATTTTTCATTTTGGGTTTTATGTAAAAAAATTAAAACAAAAAAACAAAAAATTCACAAAACTTACTATTAAAGAGCCGACTTTATAACAATCAGCGAAGAGTCTCTTTATGATGACGCCGAAACACCTTACCGACATCAGAACAACTATTAAAACTTACAAAACTTACTTTTAAAGAGTCACTCTATGTCCTCGACAGAGTACATTTAACAACCTAGACCCTTAAAGAAGGTGACAGCCTTCATCTTCAAAACTATCGAATACAAACAGAGACAATGCTTAGATTTTCGAAATTCAAAAAATTCGAGGAATGTGGAAGAATGTCAATTGAGAATGTGAAGGGTTCATATTTACTATTTACAAGAAAAAAGAGGATTGCAGTTTTTTACCAATTTACTTATTGACTTTTCGATTTTCAATTTTTTAATACTTAAATTACTTTTTCGTCTTTTCTAGTCGAAATGGACTTTTGTCCAACATGTTCTGACTACAAAACTTTTTCACCTAAAGTCCTTAGAATACGTACCAGTCCTTAGAATATGTACCGACCCACAAAAGTACCAAAAAAATATGGTCATTTGGAATTCGGTACACTAAATTAAATATAATTGTAAAAAAATACACAGAAATAAAAAGTGTTATAAAGAAGTACACTACTGAGATATAAAAATTTAACTGCCCATTTTCTAAAATTTACTTTCCTAAAAAGGGTTTTAGGAAAATATCTTAAAATTAATAAGGTACACAGTGATAAGGCTTAACAGCTAGATTTAGGAACATTAATTTGGGAAAAGTTTCATCTTCGAAAAACGGTTACCGCTTCTTCTTCCTAGCCAAAAATTGTTTCATCTTCCTCGGCTAGAAACCCTAAATCGTTCCCTGAACATCTACAGGGATTCATCTTTAAAAGAAAAATCCTACTGGTCTGCCATTGTAGATGTAAGTTCATCAACAACATCTATTGTCATATTAATTCATTGTGGGTGAATAAATTGTGTATATCTCCTAACTGCTGATTGTGTTTCCCGCATAGTGTAACAAAGATAGTGTAACATTGTAACACAGACAATGTTCAATGATTTTGTAGATGTGGTAACAAATTCAAAACATAACAAAACTATTACAATGAAGTTATTTGTAAATATGTTTGACAAAATGTAACAATACAGTGTTTTGTATAAGTAAATTTTTATTCTGTTATTGTTACACTATAACAGTAAAGTGTTAAAGTGTTCGCACATACAAGATAAACTTCAATTATGGTGTTCGCATATAAAAATACAATATATTCACCTTTAAAATGACAGACATAAATCTAATGGAGTCATGAATTCAAACCTTATAATTGCTTAGATTAATGATAAGGATGAAATAATGTTGCACTGATAAATTGCTTCCAGGCCGAAGAAAAAAAAGACAACAAATGATACTATTGCTAAATTTAAAATTCAATGCAACTGATTTGTCTTCAAAATAAACGAAAAAATCAAATCTTCTATTAAATTAGGAGATTTTTAATACATAAATATAATTTTTTTAAAAAAAATTATATTTATAATCGCATGATTTAAAGGACACAAATGTCAAAAGAAAATCCAAAACTTTCAAATTATGTACTTGAACACAATTAAAAACTAAAATTAAGGACTTACTTTACATTTTTTTCTGTGTATTTGTTTACAATTAAATCCAATTTAGTGTACCCCTCCCAATTTACCCAAAAAAATACTCCGGTCTAAAAGCCCCTCAAGTCAACAGAATATTATAAACTCATGGGCCCTATGTATTCCATGTCGAACCAAGACGTATACCAACTAAAGAATGATGGCGAACTAACTCAGTGCCACGTGCTTCACATGCTTGTCCAGCCTTATTTTCAGGATATTATGCCGAACCAAACCACCACTTAGATGAATCTCATGACTGTCCAGCATTTCTTTCCTGGAATAACGGAGACATGTACCAAACCATCACTCAGATGAATCTCCAGTATATCAACCCGTAATGATCGACACATCGGTAATGCCTGTAACTCGGACATCCCCGCTAAGAACAAAGTGCTTGCTTGGTTTACATAATGTCTATAGCAGGTTTCAAGAACTTCCAGGGTGGGAAGTGAGGACCTGGCCATCCAAAAGAACCAGCGATGGTTAAGAACTTGCTCTATTATCAAGCCCCAAAGTGGCAATGAGACAGGTATCACACGGCACTTCCGAGCTGCGACTGTGCATGTATTTGGCTTCTTCCAACTCAGTCCAGCTGGAAGGTTTCAAACTGTTGATAAGCAACCATTGAGGCCCCACGATGGATTTTAACAGAAATGCCAGATACATCAAACTTACCGGCAGAGAACACCGTCTCTCTGTAACCTGACGCATCAGAGGTAAGTGCCTCTGCTGCATGTTAAACGCACAATTAGTGACTTGAAATCGACAACACGCAGAAAGTTCAATATAAGAGTTCTTCGACAAATTGCAGTCATATGTCACAAATGGCGACATTACAAATATCATGTTATAAACATTGATTTAACTTCAGTATATACAATTACATTGGAAATAACTGAGAATTGATATGAGGTTACATGTGCAGCCTGAGCCTCAACATACATTAGATGATGCTGTCTTTGGTCTGCTGCCTAAAAAGAAGATATTGTACACAAGAAAAACATCTGAACCTGGGTCAAGACTAAATGACTGGTACTTATCTAGAGTTTCTTAATCTACAAAGTACAAACTATGAGCTCACCATAACGCACTTCTAATACTGGAAATTAGCAATCATGCAACTGTAAGACTACTCACTATCGCTCTCAGAATCTAGAAAGCTGAACTCTCTCTGTCCATCTAGTCTGATAAACAACGTTCCCCTGTTCTCTTCACTCCATTCAATACGTTCTTTTTCCAAGAGAGTAACGACCTGCATGCAAATAACTCGCACTTTATGGGACTGCAAATCCATGAAAAGAGTACAGCATTTATATATATAAACGTGAATATGCATATTGAAAATCTCATTTGTTTCTTTCTGACATGTATGTACACACTATACAGATAGAAGTGCAAACCTTCAACCCATTTTTTCACAGTAATGTAAAAAAAATTTCAATCTCTCCAGACAAATTATAAAACCACATCATGCAAAGGGTTTGTCTTCATACTCAAGGCATTCACATCAATTAATTTTCTGACACATTCCATCCAAAAGAACGAAGGTGACCAATATAATGAGCCACAACCTAATAAGTTCTGTAAAATAGGTCAAGAATAATCCATTGATTTATAACCCTTCCAATTTCAGTTTTCTCGGCAGCATGGGACTAGATTAGTCTGAAACCTGTAACAGTCAATTCCATACCCATCACATGGGAGGAATTTTCCTGACTTCCATATTAATAAACAGGAAAAAATTCAAAAAAAAAAAAGAGCAAGTCAAAATCCATACCGACTGCTTCATCTTGGACTTCCCCACACCCTGGCTCCCACATCCAGTGATGACCCTGAATGACTGCACAGCTAGGGTCGAAGAAGAAAATACAGAGAAAAAAAAAACAACATTGACACAAATTACAAGCCGATATATGTAAAGCTTAGTTGGAAGAGGGGATGAAATCCATGTTCCAGATGAAGTTGATGCTTACAGCGTACACATGCTCCAAATAGCAGGTGAAGCTTTAAAAGCCTCATTGCTTGTTTGACATGTTGCCCATGCAGATCAATTGTTACAACGTTTTCAATGCTCTTGTTCCTGCAAGTAATATCAAAATATGGAGGTGACAAAAGGAGCAAGAAATTTTTAATTCAGCTATATAGGGAATTGACTCACCTAGCCTTGAATATATCTTTGCTTGCCTTTTCATCTGCCTCACGAGCCATTTTACTGTGTAACCTTCCCTGGAACAACGCAAAGAATTACCCAACCATCATGAAACTTGTGCACCAAATGGAATCGTAACTAATTTGCTTTTCCTTGGATGTCATATCAACTGGTTACTCTCAGTAAAACTCACACTCAAGAATCTTTCGGTAGGAAATCAAGTAATATAGAAAAAGAACAAAACAACCTGACAATACTAAAAACTCTACCATTTCAGTTCCATCTGTGAAGGTGGAGACATTGTGGATTTCACCAGTTATGAATCTGAATTTTTAAACCAAGACCAAGTTTGAACCTGAATAATGATAATTGCATCCAATTTTGGTCTTATTGTAAATTGAATTTTACAATTCAGGCCATGTCTAATAAATATCTTGCTTATACACAAATAATTCCAAATTAAATTTTACCTGATATGCTATTTACATTTAATGCGATTAAAATATATCCCTAAAAAATATGAATAAAATTTTATACAAAAAAACTACTGCTAATTATTTTAGTCAGATTCAGATTTCAATGGGACCAAAATTCAACTCAATTAACCACAACAAAACTTTGCCCAAACTATTTGAAGTGAGCTCAGAGAGTCTTGTCTTGCTGTTCTCTGTCATATACTAATATTAACTCACTGAGTTATCATATTTTTCTTTTTACTGTGTCATTTAATAATTAAGTTTACTCTACCTCTACTTCTCACATTACGGTGAATATATACATCACTTTTCTTCATCATTGAAAAACTTCTATAGACAAGTCCAAACTACTAAGTCGATTTTTTCAATGGTCATGTTGAGTTGAGTAGTGTTACTTGTGTCGCTTCACAAATACACATCACTTTTAGGGTCAGCATAAATTCATCTTCACATCAGTATATCACACTTGGTTTCTAACGTGTTATTTTTTTGTTGCTTACATTATGTACCATAAACCATGGTGAGTCTTACAACTGTTTTGTGGCACATCCCTTCTAGATTAAGAGATCTAAAACAAAACTTGACTAAACTATAAATGAATCTCCCAATATGTAGTCGGATTTGAACAAATCCCATAAAATCATGTAACTGAATCATAATCAGGTCGCATTAAAAGCAGAATTGGATCTCCTTTCGACCTTTAACAGCCCTGAATAACAACTATCCAAACCATACTTGCATCTTGTAAAGGATGGAAACTGATGGAGAAAATGAATGTATGCTGCTTAGCAAGATTTGTGCATCTTTCTCATCCTTCTGCATTTAGCACTGTTCATCAGGCAGTCTAAGATAATTTAACATGTGACCACAGACAATCACAACATACGAGGCAGCTTAAATATCATACAAATGTTAAGTACCAGCGCCATAGCCATCCTCCAATAAATTAAAGAACATGATGAGATACTCAACAGGTAACTATAACCAGCCCATACATACACACCTGCTCAGAAAGGTAAGCAGCATAATCCCGTTTACCATTTGTATATGCTGTTGCAGCCTGCAGAATAATGTGCATTTTCATTTTCAGCACTTCAAAAATCTGCTTAATATGAAGTTAAAATTTGAACATGGCAAAGAAATACCAACAAAACCATGTGATAGCACCAAGTCCGCATTACCTTCTGATAGTAGGATTTCGTCGAGTCCCAGTGCTGCTTTGCAGTTTTTCTGAACACCAGGTATTCATCTCCGTTAGCTACAAATTTGAGAGAAATCAAATGTAGTAAAGAGCTACATGTGGTTCAATTTCAATACATTCACTAAACCCAAAGAGAGAGAGAGAAGATGATCATGTTAATCTAGATGCTAACTAAGAAAAAAAAAACAGACAAAAGGAATGAAAGCAATAGACTACTGTCATAGTAAAATTTTCCAATTTACTGAGGTAGACAAACATCAAGCTTAGGTGAGGAAAAGAAGTTGACCACAATGTTGCTGTAACTGCTATGTGCCTGTGCACACACCCGTGAAATCCAAGCAGTAGTTGACCAGAATACCTTGAAAGTAAGTATCCCTTGCTGATAAGTATGTGAAATTAGCCAACCCTGAGAGTACATTATTTGGCTGAAAGAACTTGAAGCCATAAAACGCAGAATTGTTTTGGGTGTTTTCTTATGACAATTTGTGACCCAGATTATAGACAAGAAGATAACATGCATGTGACTCGGATAATGTACATTCACAAGGCCATAGCACTATATGAGATGGATCCAACATATCCAAGAGTTTTGCTTCAGCTTGTACAGGATTCCCAGTTTTTCTTTTTCAAAAAAACGAAAAGAGCACATAAAAGCAACACAAAAATGTAAGATTCAAGAATCGATGAATTGAAAGTATGATTCTATCAGAAATATTCTAGCTGATTCTAGCAGAAATATTTTCATAAAAGATATATACGAAATGTTATATACCATAAGCATGTGGCTGTGTTTTTCCATCACCAGAAGGACAAGATTCAATTTTTTGTCCCAAGGACTCCATTTTCTTGACTACATTCCTCCAATTCATAATGTTCGGTTCATGTTCACAACTCTTGGGCCTGGGCATGTTAAACAAAGATTCCAACACCTTTTGAGGGAGTTCTGACTCGGAACCTCCACTGCTTGTCAAAGAAGGCACTTCAGAACTAGTAAGTGCCTTGAAATAATTCCTGAAAATAAATGAATGATAAAAGCAACTCATCTTTTCGGGCCATCTTTCAAAAGGTGAGGTATTTGATGAAGGATGAAATCGATATTTATCCTCTGTAAACGAAAATTTTAACTTCAATAATGCCTCTGCACCATTTTACCATATACTTCCCCACCCATACATGCGATTTGCACAAATAAAGTGGACTCATTTCTGCATAGACAAGAGAATATATAACCACATCATATCTTATCAGTATCATAAGCATAACCATAAGGCCTTCCTCATATGTCCTCACAGGAATAAGAAAATTACTAAGCTTTTGAGGCTTGCAACTTTCAGTTCACCTTGAGATGAGACTCAAAAATGCCTTGAAGACCAAACTTCAGGTCTGGGAATCGAAGAGGTAGAACTAAAGCTTACATCAAAGGAGGAAGACTTTTACTTGATAAACATCTCGAATCTTAAGTTTGCAGTATGTCGCACTTTCTTATATACAGCTTACATCCTCTGTTGGAATGGATGGACCTAAAATTTATTTTCTGATTTTTGTTGCATACTACACCAACATTTGAAGCTGCGCCACCGTTTAGGAAACTCTTGTGCATTAATTTACCATTAAGAACTCCAGGACAACCACTTTTTGCAAACACTGCCTAACGTTAGGTCTGTACTCAATATACCACTTCAGACCCCTAATAAAGGAGACTAAACAAGGAATTTTTTTTCCTGCATGTATTTATCATTAATGAATATCACAACTTTTTATTAACTATCAATAACAAACATTCTTTATTTTTTTTATAACAATCTGTAGCAACCCAAATTTGCATCGAACTGATTCTTAAATTGAATTTTACTATTTGAAACACAAGAACTCCACTTGAAAATAAACCAGTCACTTTAGACCCAGAGCCAAAAGTTATCAACAAACTGCACCAAAGCCCAATAATGCTTATTTATTCCTCTACTGTTCTTTTGCTTGGGGCTCATAGAAAAGTTTGTTCAATGTGACAGGTGAGGTCTTGGGTTTGCCCTTCTACAATCAATAAGATTGTTGCAAATTAAGTTTTGGTGTCTTGGAAAGAATAAAGAATAAAGAAGCTAAGACCTTTGAAATTGTGCATTGATGGCAACTATTTGATGTATTTAGAGCGGAATCACCTTCTTTTCAATTTAATATGCGGAAGAATGGTATTTCTGGCTTCTTTGTGAACCAAAGTCGCTAGGAATTTTTAGAGGAATGCCTTCGTCGGATTTTCGATGGAATTTGAAGGCGGTGGTCTTTAAGTGCTCTTGTTCTTTTTCTCCCTTTTAGTTTTTTCCTTTGCTTTTAGAATTATATTCAAGTTTTATCAGAAAAAATTGTTGTATGCTAATGTCTATAGCTTTATAGCCAACCTATCTTGTGGTATTTGAATTTAATCAATTCAGATATGTTATATCCCCATAATTTAAGGCTTTTACCTTGTATCACAGGCACACTTATTGTTTATTGCTCTTGACTTCTATAATCATTTATGCATATTTCTAATAAAAAATATTATGTCTAATACAGCCATTATATGGGAGGTGTAGCTCCACAAGCACACCCTTTCGATTTCCTCAGTTTCTTCCCAAGACACTTGCTCTTGATCAAAACTTAATAGAATGAACTAAAATTTCTTATGAGAAAAAAGAGTTAACAGGCGTGAAGGAAAACAACAGAAAAAAAGGAAGAAGCAAACACCGATGGATAATCTCATGCTAATGGGTGTGATGGATAATCTCATGCTAATGGGTGTGCTAGCATCTTAGTTTATATATAACTGGTGGGTAGTCCCAGAGATATCAGTGACAGCGAATTCAGTATAAAATATATTCAAGTGCATGCACTCTTGACCTGTTATACCGTGCTTGCTGTCTGAGTTAGTAACGAGATAAAACTTTCAGCTAAAAGGGGATAAAATTTCCAGAAAGATCAATGCAACTTCACGCATTTATTTTAACTCACCCTTTTCCTCCTTAAAATAAAACAATAACAATATCCTTATATTTGCACAAGAAATTTGGAGATTTTGGTCAAACAATTTTGCATAAGCCTGACACCTTCAAACCTTAACTTTATTTCAGAATTTCACTTTCAGAAAAGCAATTGAAGTTTCTTAATGGAATGGCCACTGCAGGGAAAAATGGAACGCCGCCATAAAAGAAAAATGTTAACCTTAATCCTGGAAAAGAAAATGTGGAGAAAAACAGCATATCAGCAATTCAAATAAGTTACCTGCTATTACAGCCCAGAGACCATATACTATTCTGAAGTTCGCTTTTGGACGAATGAGAAGTGGAATCAGATGCCCCATCAGTTAGCTGTACAAAATTTTCATGGTCACATTAGATTCACTAACAGCAATAAATATATATATATATATATATATATATATATATATATATATATATATATATATTTGATTGGAACTAATAGCAAATTATTAACTTAATTTTTGCAAGGTTGTCAAAAATAGTAATATATATTCCGAACATTCTCCACCTTAACCAAATTTTGGGGAGAGTAACTTTTGATTGACGAAAATGAATGCTTATGTGTTTGCAATTCTAGGAAATTACACTAGAAAACTTCTACAAGATCACATGATGATCCCTCGACCTGAAATTTAACACGAAGTATTTGAAATTGTCTAGATTTAGAGGTACAAACATACCACGGTTACAGTTTCCATGCAAAAATTATAATTGTATCTGCATATTTGTTAGTATCGTACGATAAATTTTGATAAGTGCAGAAAACAATCTGCATCACTTAAGTATAGAGGCTTGCATCATATAGTGCTACTATACAATACACCCGATACGAGATAATACGTACAAGTCGTCCGATACAGAGCAAAACAGATTATAGTTTGTTATGAATTCTAACCAGAACATGACATCTTTTCACTTAGAACTAATTTTTTAAAACACCAAGTAATGAAACGACGTTGTTCCATTTACAGTTCTAAAAAATAAGTCTTCTTTTTTATTCGTTCTAATGAAATATCATTTGGGGTACAATGAAATGATATTATGACATTTTGTCATAAGTATATGTATTTTTTAATATATTTCATAAAACTGCACATATCTTACGATAAACGATAAACTTTTTTGAAAAATGATATGTCTTCTAATAAATTTTAACAACCTTGATTGTATGAGAATCTAAAAAGCACGGATACTCGCTAGGGGGTCGACATGGCAGTGTCGGACACATGTTCGACACGGATGCGAGTGGGACATGGCCGGACACGTGTCCGACACCTCTACAAGTATCCTGAACAGTGAGCAAGAATTTTTTGTTGTCGGATACATGGAGATACTTGAGGGATACGGCGAAACGAATGGATCCCAGAGAGGAAGAGGGGAAGAAAAGACGAAGTGCAAAGGAAGAAAAGGCAAAAAAGACATACCAAATTCCAGGTCTGTCCAACGATCTGTTCAGTTCAGATCGCGGCGTCCTCAGCCACCTTCTCCTCCTCAACTTCTTCTTCTTCTTCCTCTTCCTTCTGCGTCCTCAAATCACGACAGCTAGCCCTAACTGGTCGTCTTTTCCTTTTTCTTTTTCTTTTCTTTTATCTCTCTCTCTCTCTCTCGATTTCAATTGAACAATCAAATACTTTTTTTTTTTACTACTTTTCTTTTTTTTTTGTATAATTTATTTAGGATAAATTACACTTTACCCCCTTTGGTAAAGTGTAATTTACTCATTTATTTATTAGTTGCCAAATAAATTAACCCACATCCCATTTGGTATTAGCCCACTCCCTAATTCTAACATATTACAATTAAATTTAACCCACTGCCTAATATTAAAATATTAACCAACTACTCAATAATTTCTAGATCTTATTATTAATATTATTTATATAAAACATATATAATATTATTTTAGTTAGTCGTATCCTTGCCGTACTCGTGTCCTATATTTTAGAATTTTGTCGTATCCCCGTATCCGTATCGTATCAAATACGATACCCGTATCCGTATCTATGCTTCCTAGATGAGAATACATGAGTCACCAAGGAATATGGATCGAACAAGAAACAAAAATTGCTAGGCATTGACTTGTTGAAAATAAATAATTCCAAGTGTCAATACATACAAAAGGTGTCAGACATAGAAAACTTCAGAAATAAAAAAAGGGCAAAGTCGCACATATATAGGTAATATATTTTTATTTTAACTTTATTTATATTAGTTGATATACACATGCTTTGCACATGGATAATTTTAAATATCATATATTATCCAGGTAAAAAATAAAAAGTAAACCATTATTTATGCCTTCATCAAAGAAATGGCCCTCTATCATATCTATCTAAAGTTAAATGTGCGTCCATTACTATTTTCGTACAATGATGTAGTCGTAAACAATAGATATCACTCGCAAGATTCTCGTTATAAAGCTCAAATGTACACAAATACATGAAAAACAAACATAAGTTCTAGATTGTTGCTTCTCTTCTAGTGGCTGATATGCATCACATACTCCCTCCGTCCAATGATAGTCCAAATGACCTACAATCTATTATGCTTAACACAAATGAATTTATAAAACCGTCAAGCGTTGTAGTGGTATGCGCTCGAAGCTGCCTATATTCCAATTCAATGTTCAAGCACAATACAAGTATAATCAAATAACATACTGAATATTTCATTTCTAGAAACAAAGATAAAGCAATCCTAACGTTTGTTATATTGTGGCCTTTGAACAAGACAAAATCGAACGTAAGATAACTTGCTTCCACATTTTAGTATTCCATTAGTGAAATTTTCTAGCTTTAAATTTTTGACCGACAGAAATAGAATTAAAACCTTAATTCAATAATACAATTATCATTGTGATTAGAACAAAATTTCCATCAAAAATAAAATGAAGAAGATCAAACAAAATTCTAAAATCCTCATAATCTCCTCCTTGATTTATTTAAGGGGTCATAGTTAAAAAACGTGTATTCTAAACATATCATGCCAAAGGTTCTAATGACATTCACAAGAACATTCATAGGGTTATTCGAAAATTCCAATTTACAAATTTTTTTGGCCCAAACACTCAAGCCATTGTGAGAGATGTAAGGGAGAAACCTTTGGTACTCCAACCTCTACAGCAGGAGCCTCGGGTAGGATGAAAACCTAGGAGAGTTATAGGAGAAAATTATAATTTTAATTGAAATAATAATCCAACACCAAAATATTACATGCACAAATCAATAAAAGAATCTTATTGTGGTCAATTCCTCAAATGTATTGTGGTCAGATCTCCCTCTAAAATGATCTCACTTGAACAACAAAATTTTCAAACCCAAATAAAAAATATCAACAATTCATTAATATATACATGCACACATACATGGTTATGTATTGATGCATACACACATATAAAGAGAAGGTAATCTATTGTAGAGCAATCGAGTGTGTTAGACAGGTGTATATATATATATATACTTGATAGAAGTAATAATATAAAAGACATGAAATTATTAAATTTTCTATTAGTTGTGGGTCTATTCATTATAGATTTATTCTTAGAAGCAAAAAAGCCTACTAGTTAGATCAGTTACATCTTGAGCAAGTTGAACAGACATTTATTATATTGTAACATTTATGGTCATTTAGAAAAAAATGAAGTGCAATAAGGGTCACTCAACAAATAATTTGTATTTTATAATGAACAATATTTATGCTATATTTATTCAGATGAATGGTATTTTGGATATTTAGGAGATGTTAGAGGGTAAAAGGGTGAAACAAAAGTTTTTCCAATATGTATACATTTAGTAGTATAAATGAAATGACTAGGATTTCCTAAATTTTGACAAGTTCAAGATAAAAAATGCCACTATGTGATCGTCTCTTCTAAGATAAAGGAGAACTTGTAAATAAACTTGGGTCAATTGGCCATTCTGAGTATGAGATATCTACTAATGGCTAACAGTAAATAACAATACTACTACTAATGGCTAACAGTAAATAATAATACTTGCACCTTAAAAATACGTATACTATGTTCACAAGAAGATGCATGTTATCCAAATGAAATAACAAGTAGGTTACACTTTGACTACAGAACACCATCCAATCATGATCTTCCTTAAGCTCTCAAATATGCATTATTAACAATATTCATGACAAGTTGTGAGGGGCCTTTCATATTCATTTCTGTACATTTAAATAGCTGTCTTTTTCGAGCCTAATAAGAACTGTTTGTCCTTCCCAATTGCTCATTGTACTCCCCTTTGGTTACACACACAAAAACACACTTTGGGGAGAAAAAAAAATTACATACACATCATAATGTGCAAAATGCTTCCAAAAAAGCGAAGGAGATAGCAACAACTAAATCACGACTCGGCTGAGCTTATATTGGCATGAGGCTGCCTGTTTTCTACGTTGGAATGAGCATTGCAGGAGCTATCTACTCTATCAAAATGCACCCAAACTCATTTTAAGTCTCTCCAAATTTCAAATTTAAACCTAGAGTAGCGCCAAGGTGGAAAACATCAATACAAGGATAACTAAAAAGGCCAAGATAAACCAATAGGATAAAAGACACCAAAGAAACCAATCCCTTTGGCCCCCACCCCCGAGAGACCACACTTCGATGCCTTGTAGTGAAAATTTGACAAGGCCAAGCATCTCGCTCGGTCCATATAAGCCAACATAAAAATACCTTCAAGATGATAAAATTAATAATGACCTAAGACAAGGGTATCTGGCCAGAAATTCCATCATAAGAACTAGCTTTCAGAATCATTTAATGCAAACTATCACTTGGGAGGAAGAAGAAATTGTGCTACTTCGTTACCTCACAATACTGACCATTCTTGGGCTCTTTGCAGGAGGAAGCAGATAATTCAAGCAGTATATTCAAAGCCTGAAAGAAGATCATATATTAATGCTTTCAAATCTTGCAATAATTGACATTGAACTTAACAGGAGATAATCTGAGTCCAACAGCTTCATATTTGTTACAGGAGATGCCACCCAAGGTAGCAAACATTCCAAACAAGATCGATGGTATACGACATCAGTTGAAAAAAGACTTGGTGGAAAAGAATTCATAATTGATAAATGATAATACCAAGTTTATTTACAAATACTACGTAGATTATGGCTTCAGATGTAATGAAAAGTGGTTATGACAACAAATACAATGCACACATACACAAGCAGAATTCAACATCAAATTGAAAGGAATTAAAGTGAAGCTCAACTAAGAATGCTTACCTTTTCAATACTAAAACCGCAGTGACCTGCCATAGGAAAGAAAGTGAGGAAAACATGTTCAGTTGAGGAAAAATTCTGCCAAAGTGCATCCCACACATATGATAATATTGACAGTCATGAAGATGTCGTCACAAGTGGTATTGAGTAAAACCAACCCAAATTCATGCAACACAACACAAGAAACCAAGAGGAGCAATTTGTAGTAGACGTGCCCAATAATTTTGAAGTTTACACAACATACAAGCTCCATATCCTTTCACTTGTATGGTACACCATTGGCATGCCTGTTATAACGTAATAGATAAAGCTGAAGGGAAATGTGGAACTCACAGAGCACATCTCTGACCACGGCCATGCTCAGCTCGCACTCATCTCCAAGCATCGAATACAAAAACTGCTCTGCGTCCTCCGTGCTTACATGTCCATCACTGAATCCTTTCCGTTTCACCGAACCCCTATTTGGTGTTGATCTCACATAGTCCTTTCCCAGCATCGTCGAAACCGTCCCTGCAGCAGCAGCAACCTTCTTCGGCTTAATCACTCTAAAAACCTTCTCACGTCCTCGATCCTCCCCACTATCCACCTCCACAAACACCTCCGATGAGCTTGACCCCCAACTGGACCCCAAATTTCTACTGGAGCTAGAACAAGTTGTACTCTGATCCTCCGAACTTTCTGCTAAACCTCCGAGAATCTTCGCGGCCGCCTTGTTCGGGTCCGCGTTCATCTCTCCATAACCCGCATGGGCTTCAGCTAGAGAAACAGAGCTAAAAGCCTCCATCAGACCGTTCAAAACCCTATGCTCTATGCTATCCCCGTCACATAGAACAGGTTTGCCTACACCAAGTTGTTTCGAAACCCTGGACCTCTTCTTCTTCTTCGTATGCTTCATCTCTCCTATATCACAGCTATATATCCCTCCTATATGACTGCTATTTATATGTATGTACGTATGTATGCGTATATGTATGTATGTACAGAAACAGCGACAGCAGCAAGGTAACCGATCAACTGCAAAACGGATCGATCAACCCAAGGAGGACGTTGAGAAAATCAAATCTTAAATCGATTCAGAGATATGGAGTTTGGGTGGATTGATAGATAATCCAGGAAGCCCTAATTTGCGAAGGAAATAGATTTACTGGTTGGAAATTAAGGTTTTTTTTATCAAAATGGCTGAAGATTTATATAGCGATTTTGGGGAAAATCTCAGAGAGTAGGACGGGGACGAAAATCTCTGAGAATAACATCGACCGGTTATGGTGGGACGGTTACCAAATTAAATAAAGGGGCGACAGTGTTTCACGCGATTGTGGAGAATCTGCCAAGTAGACGCCGAAAGAGGTCAATGTGAGATAGCCAACCGTTGTGGTGGACTCGTGTTTTGACTTCAATTACTTCAGGTTTTTGTATAANCCAAGTAGACGCCGAAAGAGGTCAATGTGAGATAGCCAACCGTTGTGGTGGACTCGTCTTTTGACTTCAATTACTTCAGGATTTTGTATACGTGAACTTTGATGAGGATGACACTCCCTTTGTACGACTCTGTTTTTGGTACATCGGAAAGGTTCAAACAAAGTAAACAAAAATCTTTAACTTTAGAGATATTTCCTTCGCTATTAAGTATCAGTCATTTAAGTTTTTACACAAAAATTAAAAAAGTTATTAAATAATTTTAATATGAGTAAAAAATAATTTTATAACCCTAAATACATTTATTCAATACGTATTAGAAAGAAAATAAATATANTCGCTATTAAGTATCAGTCATTTAAGTTTTTACACAAAAATTAAAAAAGTTATTAAATAATTTTAATATGAATAAAAAATAATTTTATAACACTAAATACATTTATTCAATACGTATTGGAAAGAAAATAAATATGAAAAACACTTAGAAAAACAGAAATAATGGTAAATTTGGAAGGAAAAATATTAATTATGTTTTGATCTCATTAAACGACAATTATTGTGGAATAAAAAAAATTATGTAAAACGACAGATATTTAGAAATNAATATTAATTATGTTTTGATCTCATTAAACGACAATTATTGTGGAATAAAAAAAATTGTGTAAAACGAGAGATATTTAGAAACNTGGTGGTTCTAATTTTTCGTTACGCCGTGCCTTCAGGCACGGGCAATTACTAGTGTTATTACATAATATATGCCAATAACACACTTCATTCATGTAAACCCCCGCATGTTTATATTAATATAACGATATAATTGTTTAATAATTCTAACANTGGAAGGAAAAATATTAATTATGTTTTGATCTCATTAAACGACAATTATTGTGGAATAAAAAAAATTGTGTAAAACGAGAGATATTTAGAAACAGAAAGAGTACAAATACTACCATTTCTCAAAAACTCTCATCGAGTAGGGTAGGGAAATTAGTAACACCATTTGTTTATTTTGCTGAACACCCAAATTATCGAGTTTATCAACACAAAAATTTCTTTATCTCAAAATATGCAATATGGGTGTGTTGAGTAAGGTCAACAATTTCTTGACAAATTGGATGAGTTTCTTCCGGTCTTGAGGTCAAGAGTTTGTGAGCATCTAGGGAGTCGATCTCCAAGATAACATTCTTCAGATTTTAAATTTGGATGAGTTGCTTTGAAGATGACCCATAATTCCACCTAGGCACTTGAACAATTGGACAATCTTCCAAAGAATCCCATTTTCTAGATTCCTTGATCATTTCTAACGATGCCTCCAACTGTTGTAGTTCCTGGATTTTCTTTAAAACATCCATCCACATTTAGCTTCAACCACCCTGCAAGAGGAAAAGACCATCCAATAAGATTTTCAAAGTTATGGTCTTGAAAATGTAAATTTTCTTGGAAGGCCAGCTTAAGTTCAAGGGCTAGCTACCAAGCATNAACACCATTTGTTTATTTTGCTGAACACCCAAATTATCGAGTTTATCAACACAAAAATTTCTTTATCTCAAAATATGCAATATGGGTGTGTTGAGTAAGGTCAACAATTTCTTGACAAATTGGATGAGTTTCTTCCGGTCTTGAGGTCAAGAGTTTGTGAGCATCTAGGGAGTCGATCTCCAAGATAACATTCTTCAGATTTTAAATTTGGATGAGTTGCTTTGAAGATGACCCATAATTCCACCTAGGCACTTGAACAATTGGACAATCTTCCAAAGAATCCCATTTTCTAGATTCCTTGATCATTTCTAACGATGCCTCCAACTGTTGTAGTTCCTGGATTTTCTTTAAAACATCCATCCACATTTAGCTTCAAGAGGAAAAGATCATCCAATAAGATTTTCAAAGTTATGGTCTTGAAAATGTAAATTTTCTTAGAAGGTTTTGGCAACCAAGTATGGGGGGTATGGGACTTTTCAATACACTTCTTGTTTCTATCTTTCCATATATGTCAGATAAGGGAGGTGAACACTACACACCACTCCACTCCTCTCCATCTTTATCTTCCTTTGATTTTTCTAGAGCCACTCTTATAACTCAGAAGTCTGGTTAGCAGAGCTATTTGAGTTTCCTAAAACAACTTTCCAGACTGCTTGAGCTTTCGAGCAGTCTCTAAGTATGTGCAAGGTTGATTCCATATGGATGTTGCACCTCTCACAAGTTGCAACCCTGGTCATGTTTTTGGGAGCTCTAAGAAGATTGGAGAGTATTTTGTCACTCTAAATAAGCCAAAGGAAGAATACAAGTCTCTGTGGGATATTCTTGGACCAAATCCAGTCCTATCTCAAGACATGATTATTATCCTCATCTGATTTGGAAAACCAACTATAGGTTGTCCTTATAGAGAACTTACCATAGTTAGCAAGACCTCAACATGGGGTATCTCTGAAATCATTATTATTTAGAATGTTTGTGGTCAGGATATTAGAGATAATGTTAGGAGGAAGAAGGATACTTGCATTGCTTAAGTTCCAGTTACTTGAGGGATCGATGAAATCTGCCACTAGACTGTCGTGGCTAGCTGAGTCTGGAATCTGGATTTTGTTAGCAGGAGGGGATTCTCCACACCACCAATCAATCCAAAGGAGATGTTGTGACCATTTCCAATAGGTCATTTTTTTCCTTCATTAACAATTTGCTTTGTTTTCATGATGGCTCTCCAAATTGGAGAAGTATTTGTTTTCTATTTCCAATCATGTGAGGTACTATTTATGTATTTTTCCTTGACTACTTTGACCCACAGTGCATCATGATTATCTTTTATTTTCCAACTCAACTTCGCCAGTGTAGCTTGGTTATTTTCTCTAGTCTTTCTTAACCCAAGGCCCTCTTCCTCTTTTGGCTTCCAAACTGTGTCGCAGTTTATAAGATGAACTTTTTTTTCCTCTGTATCCCTCCATTGGAAGTTCCTATTGAGTCTATAAAATTTCTCACAGGTGGACTGAGGCAGTCAGGTGGTTTACATCGTGAAATTTGGATAGGTAGAGATAACTACTTGAATAAAGTGACTCTTCCTGCAGTGGCTAGATTTTTAGCCTTCCATCTACTAAGCTTTTGCTTGGATTTTTTCCACTAGGAAGTTACAGGTATCTTTATTGGTTCTTTTGTGAAGAATAGGAATTCCTAGATATTTTCCTAGATCCTCAGTTCTGGAAATTCCATTTCTTCTGATTTGGTGATTGACCTTACTTCTACTGATATTAGGGTAGAAGTAAACTCTATATTTGGCAAGCTTTACTTTTTGGCCTGAGATGTTATAAAAATTTTGAAGCACTTCATTAATCATATCACAATCCTTTTCTATTGCCCTAGAGAAAAGAATGATATCATCAACAAAAAGGAGATGGGTGATAGAAGGACCATTCCTAGATGCTTTAATGCCTTTTCCAGCATCCCTCTTCCATTTTTTTGTTAATCATTTGTCCTAATTTTTCTATTCAACGAGTAAAAAGGTAAGGTGACAGTGGGTCACCTTGCCTAAGTCCTCTTTGAGTAATAGGGTTTAGGGGTTCACCATTTCCGTAGTATGGATAGTGATGATTATGTGACACAATTCATAATAATCTCAATCCAAGATTGTGAGAAATTATATTCAATCAGTGTTTGATGCAACAAAGACAAATTAATTCAGTCATAAGCTTTTTCAAGGTCAATTTTGATCAACATGTTCCCCACTTTCTCTTTTTTCATTTGGGTAACCAACTTGGTCCAGAAATGGTCTAAGTTTGGCTACTAGGAGCTTTGTCAAAATTTTCAGGCTCACATTACAGAGACTTATTAGCCTAAATTGGGAGGCCAACACAAGGTTGTTAATTTTGGGGATTAATGTTATCCAGTTCTCATTAAGTTCCTTTAGACACTTCCTTAGAATAAAAATTCCTTTAATTTGTTTACAAATTGACTCTCCAACAATATCCTAATATTTTTGGTAAAAAAGGCCTTGGAGGCCATTTGGTCCCAGGGATTTATTGGCCTTGATATTAAATGTAGCTTTCTTAATCTCATAATCTATGATAGGGACTTCAAGGATTTCATTATCTATAGTATTTAACTTAGATTGGGGAAATGTGTTATTGCCCTCAAGCTCACAGTAATTTTCAATACCAAATAACTCTTCAAAGTAATCTTGAATTATCTTCTCAATTTCAAACAAAGACCTTGTGCATTTTTTAGACTTGGAGGTCTATTTATCTTTCTCATAACAATTGTGGAAACATGGAAGTATTTTGTATTTTTATCTCCCAATATTATTCATTTGGAGCTTGATTTCTAGTGTCAGAAGATTTTCTCTTGTTCCAAAATTTGGTGGTATTCAATGAGAAGTCGTTCCTCTAATCTTTCTAGATTATGAGAGCATTTTATCTCTTTGAGATTTATGTAAACCCTCCAATCTCTAGGACTCTACGTTTCCTTCAAAAAAAAATTTCCAAAGGTGGTTGAATTCCACTCCTTAGGTTTTTTTGGCAAATTTGGTAGTCGTTTGAATTAAGGAATTATCACATTGGTTCCATAATTCCATTACGACATTTTTAAAATCAGGTCTAGTTAGCCAAATAACTTCCATATTAAAAAGTCTAGTAATTGAATGATTCGTTGGATTACCTTTGAGATGAATGAGGATAGGATAGTGGTCGGAATAGGTTCTGGGAAGATTTTGAACACTTGCTTTTGGGAATTGAGTAGTCTATTGTGCATTTGTCTAAGCTTTGTCCAATCTAATTTTTGTATATGTCAAGCCTTTGCACTTGTTATTCCATGTGAGCCTTGGACCACTACACCCAAGATCAATGAGTCCACATTTGTTAATCCTTTCTCTA